AGAGGATTGGTCTTTGCTACCGCTGGTAAACAAGAGACACAGCCAGCCTTGGACTACTTCGGTCTTCCTTGAGCATTGAGGTTCAGTGCAGAACACTAAAGGCTCAGGACACCATCTTGATGCTGGCCTGCCTCTAAGTATCTATATATTATTGCTGTTATTGGTATCTGTATTCAGAGTAGTCTTGCCTTCACTGCAGTGTAGAGCTAAGGACTATTTTCCTTATTTCTTTCCAGTCGGGGGATACTTTCTCTATCTCAGCAATGCTTCAAAAATCTAATTTCTGGCAGCAGAAGGGTTCTTCAGAGTATGTGGCTTACTGGAATGCTAGAAATCCTGTCATCTGGTATTGTGGAAAAAACACTTGATTGAATAATGCATCTTAAGGTTTAATTCTGTTTTCACATAACTTTGTATGTATTAGCTATGGTAGTTCTCAGGAATTTCACTTACCCCCTTAAACCTTATAAAATTGAGTTTAATAAGATGTGAGTTAACTAGAAAATTTGGGATATGTTTGGAGAACTGGAAAGCAACATATTTACTTAACATTGTTAGTGATAATATGTGAAATAAGATGCAAGGCAGAAGTGTTTTTGCTATGTGGCTTTTGTTGTTTTCTTTTTTCTCACGTAAGGTAATATATGCTCAGTTGGTTTTCATAGATGCATTTTTTGTTGTTGCATTCAGTATGAAGTTAGTCACCTCAACCATGTGAATCTACACAGATTTGTCAGTTGATACATAAGAGAAATGAGAGGAATGGTATGTAATGAGATGAATGGTATATAGGTTAAGAATTTGCTTTTTCATGTAATTTGAGGTGGTTGGAGTCTACCTTTGCTTAATAGGGAATGGAGAAAAGTGTGCCATTGGGTTTTTTTCATACTTGAGAGCTATTTTAGAGGCTATAAAGTAAAAAGTTTTTGGAGCTGCTCTTTAATTTACAGGGACTGTAAATGTCATCTTTGTTGCTTAGCATATTAACCTAAAATTCTATTTTGTCATTTCACAATTAAGATGTGCATTTATTTGATTCTTTAAAGATTATAAAGTATATTAACAAATCATATCTCACTTGAGCCTTGGAACAGGTTGGTGGAATAGGCAGGGAAAGCATTTTAATTAGCATCTTTCTGGTGAAGATACTGGTTCAGGGGGGTTGAGTGATGTGCCCCAAGTCCTACGTTTATGTACATGGCAGGGCTAGCGGTAAAATCCAGGTCTTCTTACTCCTGTGTAGAGTAGGCATACCTCATTTTATTGAGCTTTACTTTGTTGTACTTCACAGAAATTGCAGTTTTTGCAAATTGAAGGTTTATGGTAACCCTGCATCAAGCAAGTCTGTTAGCACTACTTTTCCAACAGCATTTGTTCACTTCATGTCTCTGTGTCACATTTTGGTCATCTTGTAGTATTATTGCTATATTTATTAGGGTGGTCTGTGATCAGTGATCTTTGATGTTACAATTGTAAGTGTTTTAGGGTGTCACATAGAAGACACCCATAGAAGATGGAGAACTCAATAAATATTGCGTGTGTTCTGACTGCTCCACCAGCCAGTCGTTCCTCCATCTCTCTCCCTCTCCTCAGGCCTCCCTGTTTCCTGAAGTTAAACTTAATAACCTTACAATGGCCAATACCTGCTCAAGTGAAAGGAAGATCACATGTCTCTCACTTAAAATCAAAAGCTAGACATGATTAAGTTTAGTGAGGAAGGCATGTCAAATGCCAAGGTAGGCCAAAAGCTAGGCCTCTTGTGCCAACAGTTAGCCAAGTTGTGAAGGCAAAGGAAAAGTTCTTAAGATTAAAAGTGCTGCTCCAGTCAACACACAAATGATAAGAAAGCAAAACAGCTTTATTTTTATTTTTATTTATTTATTTTTTTGAGAGAGAGACGGGGTGTGAGCGGGATGGGGGAGGGGCATAGAGAGAGAATCTCAAACAGGCTCATCCCTCAGCAAGCAGCCCAAAGCGGGGCTGAATCTCACAACCCCAAGACCGTAATGACCTGAGCTGAAGTCAAGAGTCGGACGCTTAACTGACCGAGCCACTCAGGTGCCCTGCAAAACCACCTTATTGCTGATACGGAGAAAGTTTTAGTGGTCTGTGCAGAAGATCAAACCAGTCCCAGCATTCCCTTAAGCCAAAGCCTAATCCAGAGCAAGGCCCCAATTCTGTTCAAGTCTGTGAAGGCTGAGTGTGGTGAGAGAGCTGCAGAAGAAAAGTCTGAAGCTCATAGAAAACAGAATCAAGGGTCGCCTGGGTGGCTCAGTTGGTTAAGTGACTGCCTTCGGCTCAGGTCATGATCCTGGAGTCCCAGGATCGAGTCCCGCATCGGGCTCCCTGCTCAGCGGGGAGTCTGCTTCTCCCTCTGACCCTCCTCCTTCTCATGCTCTCTGTCTCTCATTCTCTCTCTCTCAAATAAATAAATAAAATCTTTAAAAAAAAAAAAAAAAGAAAACAGAATTAAACCTTAAGATTCATTACTCAATCGAGGGTTTCTTCCACAATACCAGATGACAGGATTTCTAGCATTCCAGTAAGCCACATACTCTGAAGAACCCTTCTGCTGCCAGAAATTAGATTTTTGAAGCATTGCTGAGATAGAGAAAGTATCCCCCGACTGGAAAGAAACAAGGAAAATAGTCCTTAGCTCTACACTGCAGTGAAGGCAAGACTACTCTGAATACAGATACCAATAACAGCAATAATATATAGATACTTAGAGACAGGCCAGCATCAAGATGGTGTCCTGAGCCTTTAGTGTTCTGCACTGAACCTCAACGCTCAAGGAAGACCGAAGTAGTCCAAGGCTGGCTGTGTCTCCTGTTTACCAGCGGTAGCAAAGACCAATCCTCTCTGAAGAGAACACCACCACTTCATAATGCCGATGAGGTCTAAGGAAAGAAGCCGTCTCCGTATCATCAAAGTGCAAGGTGAACACAAAGTGCTGTTACAGAAGCTGCAACAGATTATCCGGAAGATCTAGTAAAACAATTCGTGAAGGTGGCTACAGTAAACAAAATATTTTTAATGCAGACACGACAGCCTTCTATTGGTAGAAGATGCCCTCTAGGATCTTCATAGCTAGAGAGAAGTCGGTCTGGCTTCAAAGACTCTCTGTTAGGGGCTAATGCAGCTGGTGACTTTATATTGAAGCCAGTGTTCATTTACCATTCTGAAGATCCCAGGGCCCTGAAGAATTATGCCAAATCTACCCTGCCTGGATTCTATAAATGGGACAGCAAAGCCTTGATGACAGAACATCTGTTGACAGCATGGTTTTTTGAATATTTTAATATTCAAGAGCTTTAATATTGAATCTTTTAAGCTCACTGTTGAGACCCAGTACTCAAAAGAAAAGATCCCTTTCAAAATATTACTCCTCATTAACAATGTACCTGCTCACCCAAGAGCCCTGGTGGAGGTATGGGAGATCAATGTTGTTTTCAGGCCTGCTAACATCATCCATTCTGCAGCCCGTGGATCAAGGAGTCATTTCAGCTTTTAAGTCTTATTATTTAAGAAATACATTTCATAAGCTATAGCTGCCAGAGATGGTGATTCCTCTCATGGATCTGGGAAAAATAAATTCAGAACCTTCTGGAAAGGATTCATCATCTAGATGCCATTAAGAACATTTGTGATTTGTGGGAGGAAGTTAAAATATCAACATTCACAGGAGTTTGGAGGAAGTTGGTGCCAGCTATCATGGATGACTTTGAGAGGTTCTAGACTTCTGTGGAGGAAGTCACTGCAGATGTGGTGGAAACAGCAAGAGAACTAGCATTAGAAGTAGAGCCTGAAGATGGGACTGAATTGCTGCCATCACGTGATAAGACTTGAATGGATGAGGCGTTGCTTCTTACGGATGAACAGAGAAAGTGGCTTCTTGAGATGGACTCTACTCCTGGTGGAGATGGCGTGAAGACTGTTGAATGACAACACAGGATTTAGGACATGACATACCCTTAGTTGATAGAGCAGTGGCAGGGCCTGAGAGATTGAGTCCAATTTTGAAAGAAGTCCTCATGTGGGTAAAATGCTATCAAACAGCATCGCATGCAACAGAGAAATTATTTGTAAAAGGCCGAGTTAATCAATGAGGCAGACTGCATTGTCTTATTTTAAGAAATTGCCACAGCCTTCAGCAACCACCCCTGATGGGTCTGCAGCCATCTACAAGGAGGCAGGACCATCCTCTAGCTAAAACACTGCAACTTACTGAAAGCTCAGGTGATGGTTGGCATTTTTAAGCAATAAAGTATTTTAAAATTGAGATGTGTACGTTTTTATTTTAGTCATAAGGCTACTGCACACTTTAACTGATTATAGGATAGCATAAACATAACTTTTATATGCAGTGGGGAACCAAAAAATTCACCTGCCTAGCTTTGTTGGGATATTTGCTTTATTGTGGTGGTCTGGAACCAAACCCACAATATCTCCAAGGTATGCCGGTTCCTTTCACTCTGTTAAGTTGCTCACAGAAAAGCGTGCAGTGGGAAAATACTGCTTACACTTTGTTACCCATCAGAATGGTTGCATTTCATGTCATTGTCTTACTGCCATTGCAATTGTTAGTGCTGTTGTGTAGTTTCCTGGCTTCTGGTTAAATTGCTGGGAGAATGAAATAGTTTTGGGAATGAATGGTATTCAGTTCCTCATGTTAAATAGAGTTTTGCCCATTAGTTACTCCCTAGGGGGCTCCAACTTGTCTTCACCTGAATAGTATGTTACTGTTCTTGGAAAGGTGTGTCTGTTACTTTCTAAGAAGCTTGAGGGAGCTTCTGGAATTTCTCCATTGGGATGCAACAGTTCTTCCAGAAGCTCTGAATGTTAGGCTGATTGATTATAGAGATCTAATTTTGTTCTTACTTATTTAACAATTCTCTGAGTTACCTATAATTTATAAGGAAGGAGTTTTCAGAAAGCACAATCATTGCTTAAGTATGTAGACATTCTTGTTTATAACCTTTTTTTGGTCTTTCTTTCAGATCTCGTGGAAGCTCTGAAGCCAGATTACGTGGCCCCCCTGGTCCTTTGGCTTTGCCATGAGAGCTGTGAGGAAAATGGTAGCTTGTTTGAGGTATTCCACAGCTTCCTGCTTTCTCTCAAAGCAGTACTTGTGTGTTATATGTACAAAATGATCAAAACATTAATATTTTCCGGTTGCTCACATTTGTAAACATCTGTAAGAGTTGATATCACTTGTGTATTTTTTATTATCATGGATAACTAAGGAACAAATGTTGATGAATGTCTTTCTTAGAAGAAGTAAAAGCACCTTCATACCTTCTCTTTATCCTTATTTCTTCATTTCTAGTGTTCTTACCAAATGAAAACATGGCTGGTTTGATGTGTTTACTCAAATAGAGAGAGTTTTATTTGGTTTGGGAACTTGGATGTGGAAGTAGAAGGACAAAGAGTAGGGTTTAGAGTCAGCGAGGCCAGGTTTTGAATTCTTTGTTTTGATAATTGCTGGCTCACTGGAATATCCTACAAATTAACGTCCCTGAGCGTCAGTTTTCTTGGGTTCTTGTGGTGACAACTAGAAATCATATTTTTATTTTTTAAAACCATTTATTTATTTGAGAGAGAGAGGCATAGAAAGTACAAGCGGGAGGGGGGCAGAGGGAGAGGGAGAGAGAAACTAAAGCAGACTCCACACTGAGCATGGAGCCTGGCACAGGGTTTGATTCCACGACCCAGAGATCATGACCTGAGCTGAAACTGAGAGTCGGACACTTAGCCAGCTGAGGCACCAGGTGCCCCGAAATCATATTTTTAAAATTTTGGCATTGGATCTAGTACGTAACAGTCACACTTCAGGGGCGCCTGGGTGGCTCAGTTGTTAAGCGTCTGCCTTCGGCTCAG